AGTTACACTTAAAAGCAGCCCAGTGAGTTTAAAGTTTGAATATATACATTTAAGGCATCCAAACAATCTTAACTCTACCCCTATATATCTGCTTCTTCATTGTAAGTGTTATTTTTGTATTAAAGGTGTTTTTTAAAGGGTTTTAAGAAGCCTATGGCTGTAGGCATTTTAATTTGGAAAAAGTCTGTACTGATACAATAAGTGTATAATTGCCATCTTTCCTTCATTTTTTTCATAAGGGCTATAGGAAGCCTGTGGTCCATTGCTGTGAAAAACTTAAATTTGGAGGATACTCTCTTGTATTTCTGTCTGACTCTTATAGTGCACCAGTGGCCATGGGATCTGGGCAATGAAAGAAGAGGTACACAGACTCAAAACAAAAGTGGACTTTTACTCAGACCTTCCTAGAGTTTGGTTGTTTGTACTTAGATTTCCCCCATCTCCCCATCTCGACTTCTGTTGCTGTGATTAGGCATTTATACAAATATAGGCTGCAAGTGATGTATTAAAACTGTGATATGAACATGCTTGGGGATGGCTTTGATTTTTTTCTTTTTTTAAAAAAATAATTGTAACAAAGTTTCCTAATGATCAGGTTACATTTTGGAGTCTATTGCTCCAAGGAAAAGGGATAGAGACTTACTTTTTTAAAATAAAAGCTTTGGTCTCCCATCAGTCACATGGCACTCCATCAAAAGCCCACCAGGGTTGATGGGCTATTCTGATATTCTAGTTGGATAGTGAATAAGTTCTTAAACATGCCTTCCACCCCTCCAAGAATTGATCTTGTGCACTAGGTTTCACTAAGATATTTTGATCACATTTAATTTGAAGTTTCTAGAACAAACCATTTTTGAGATGGACAAAAAAGAAAAAAGACTTCAAAACACACCACCTATTTTTCTGATTCCCATGTCTTAGAAACAGCTTGTATAATTCCCCACAAATTTAACCAAAACAGAAGACACCTGCAAAATTTGAAGAGGAAAGGATCTTTTTTTTTTTTTCATTTGAGGACCAAGCGGTTAAAATTGAGTTTACAATGGTAAGTGAGTCTCTGCCTTAACATAATATTTAACAATACCAGCAAGGAATATACACAGTACTCTTTCATGTGTGCACCAAGCAGCTATAATATAGTAGTGTCTTTTGGAAATTACCAACCAGGGCTGGATTGGACCTAGTGACCTAGAGGTGAGAGAGACCATATCACTTTATCAGTCCCCTGACCCAGCCAGTCTCCTGGGAATTTCAGTGTTAACATTTTATCCTTCTTTCACACCCTTATGCCTTAGATCTACTGTGTTTTATTCATTTGGTGCCTGATAATCCTTTCAGTTCCATGGGCACAATTACCACTGAAATTAATGAGACTTGCACCTATGTTAATGGACTCTGACCCAAGTTAATGGCCTCTCTTTAGTGTAAAACTAATCATCATTTTACTGCCTCCTATTAAAAACCAAAAATTCTGGTCTCTTGGATAATAGGCCCTCACACTTGATCCCCTTGTTGGAACTCTCAGCAAAGAGGGCAAGGGCTGGATGTGTCATACAGACTGAATTCCCCGCTTACTTTGGGAGATGGTCCCTCCTGAAGCATGTTTTCTGGCTAGCATGGAGGAAGCTTGCACTGCTGCTGCCTAAGTTGCGTGTTTCCTGCTCATATCAAGGCATTTCTTTAACTTTTTTTTTTTAATATATTGTTTTTGTGTAAATAAAGGAAATAACATAAATGTTATACATGTGTTATTTAACCATAGTGGATGGAGAAAAATAGGACAAGAATGGTTATCATTATGAATCAATTATTCTTATTGATATCATGCCATAGATAAGCATGCTTTACAAACACCTAAGACCAGGTATGTTCTCTGAGGGAGTTTACAAATTAGTTAGAACAAGTTGAGATTAAAATGTTACTTCACCAATATACAGTCTGCAATTTCACATAATCTCCTCCTGAATGTGGATCATCCTTCTGCTTTTTGTGAGAAGTAGCAGAAAAGTTTTTAATAGTGCAATCCTGATTACCGGAGTATAAATGAACAAGTGCTTTTTGAGCTTTTTTGCTGAGCATTAGAACATTGTTGGACTCCTGCATGTGGGGAAGGTGAATGTGCAGGGTCTATCAGGAGGCATCGGACCCCTGACATTCCCTGCTCAATGAAAATCCACTTAGATCAGGTTACTAACAAGATAGCCCTCCAGAGCCTAGAAGGGCCAGGAGGATATACTGACCAATCAATAGCCAACAGGCCAGTTAAGAAGGCTTGCCTGTTTCTTCTCTGGGCAGTGCAGAGTGAGACTGGAATAGAGGAGCTGCAAGCTCCTTGTGATAGCTGAGGGCCAGACCAGGGCTTTGCCCTCAAGCACTGCAGATAGGCATTTGCCTTGGAGTTTTGTTTGTTTATTTAAAGGTGCAGACTGCCAAAGTTTGAGTTCGTTATTTTTAGTGTGCTGTGTATAGAATGATGACAAGCTTGTGACCACGACTGGTGGACTGTACAGGGAGTGCCTGCAGTACCACGCTTGGCATTGCTTTCCACCACCTGCCACAGTGAAATAAAGTTGTCTAGAAATTGCACTGTGTATTACAGACACACAAATCACACGGTTAAGAGGCATTTTCAGAATCGGAGCATCAGAGCACCTTAAAGGGAGCATTGATCCTAAGAACTGTATGGAGAGCCATGAGTTGCTGGGTTCTGTTCCCAGTGCTGACACCAACTGCCTCTCTGGCTTAGGCTTGTTACTTAGGGCTCAGTCCTGCAAACAGTACTGTGCAAGGTGTGGGATGAGTGGACTACTCAGTAGTAAGTACTGGGTCTGGTAGTAAGACTTTGCAGGATCTGTCCCGTAACTTCTGTGCCTCAGTTATCCTATCTGTAAAACTGTACTAATGAGACTTAGCTCACAAAATGGCTTTGAAAGAGAATTATGTTGTTTGATAAAGTGCTTTGAAGATGAAAAGTGCTAAGGGTTGGGTTGTCATTTTCACAGGCAATAACCCAAATAAAAATAAATTCCTATTAAAAACTTTAATATATAGCTATCCTGAACCTTGTGATAAAGCTTGACCCATTGTAGAGTGTCATGCGAGCATAAGTACTTTCATGAATCTCAATGGCTTGAGTCTGTTATTAAGGCCTGTTGACTTGGTGACTAAATAAGTACATGCAAAGTTTAATGGAGGATTCTCCATCATACAACAGATATTATGTAAATTAAGTTGTCATGGGATAAGAGGGAAGATCCTTTCATGGGTTGAGAACTGGTTAAAAGACAGAGAACAAAGGATAGGAATAAATGGTAAATTTTCAGAATGGAGAGGGGTAACTAGTGGTGTTCCCCAAGGGTCAGTCCTAGGACCAATCCTATTCAACTTATTCATAAATGATCTGGAAAAAGGGGTAAACAGTGAGGTGGCAAAGTTTGCAGATGATACTAAATTGCTCAAGATAGTTAAGACCAAAGCAGACTGTGAAGAACTTCAAAAAGATCTCACAAAACTAAGTGATTGGGCAACAAAATGGCAAATGAAATTTAATGTGGATAAATGTAAAGTAATGCACATTGGAAAAAAATAACCCCAATTATACATACAATACGATGGGGGCTAATTTAGCTAAAACTAATCAGGAGAAAGATCTTGGAGTCATCCTGGATAGTTCTCTGAAGACGTCTGTGCAATGTGCAGTGGCAGTCAAAAAAGCAAACGGGATGTTAGGAATTATTAAAAAAGGGATAGAGAATAAGATGGAGAATATCTTATTGCCCTTATATAAATCCATGGTACACCCACATCTTGAATACTGCGTACAGATGTGGTCCCCTCATCTCAAAAAAGATATACTGGCATTAGAAAAGGTTCAGAAAAGGGTAACTAAAATGATTAGGGGTTTGGAACGGGTCCCATATGAGGAGAGATGAAAGAGGCTAGGACTTTTCAGCTTGGAAAAAAGGAGACGGAGGAGGGGGGGATATGATAGAGGTATATAAAATCATGAGTGGTATGGAGAAAGTGAATAAGGAAAAGCTGTTTACTTGTTCCCATAATATAAGAACTAGGGGCCACCAAATGAAATTAATGGGCAGCAGGTTTAAAACAAAGAAAAGGAAGTTCTTCTTCACACAGCGCACAGTCAACCTGTGGAACTGCTTGCCTGAGGAGGTTGTGAAGGCTAGGACTATAATAGGGTTTAAAAGAGAACTTGATAAATTCATGGAGGTTAAGTCCATTAATGGCTGTTAGCCAGGATGGGTAAGGAATGGTGTCCCTAGCCTCTGGTTGTCAGAGGGTGGAGATGGATGGCAGGAGAGAGATCACTTATGTTCTTATATTATTTACTGGAACGCTCAGTGTGAGGCTTAACTGGGTAGAGGATAGAAGCATGCTGAATGGTCTTTGAACCAGAAGCAATAGGTGATTCCTAACTTTTGTGTCTGGATTTAAATCTGGAAAGCAGAGCTTTTAAAGATTTTTTCTTCTTTTCTTGCTGCTAGTAATATTGGTTCCTTCTCCCCGAGGTCAGTAATCATGAAACAATGCTGCTTGGTCTCACTCTGGTTCCCATTGGTAAAGAGCCCATTATATCACAAAACATCAACACCACAATTGTCATTTAATTTAGTTTGACAGACAACCTTGTTGGCAGTCTCAGTGGACAGGTCAAGGACTGAATGGGCCAGGGAGACTGACCAACCCTCTCAAACTCAGAGATGCTCCATCCAGGCCAGGGATAGGGACCAGTGCTGGTGTAGTGTAGGGAAGCTTGAGTGTGCTGTACGTGTTCTGGGGATAAATAGAGGACACTAGCTTGCAGGGCTGTCAATCTGTCATCTTTCATCAGCATTATATTTGCAAAGTTTCAGATAACAAGAAGAAGGATGTGCAGTGATGTTAGTGGGGGATGATGTATTAAAGGCCATTCTCACTGTTGCTGAAGGTACTGATATTCCATTCTCTTTTCCCTTCCCTCATGTTTCTTTCCCTCCCAGTCTGTGGTAAACGTTATAAGAACAGACCTGGACTGAGCTACCATTATGCTCACACTCACCTAGCCAGCGAAGAGGGGGATGAAGCCCAAGAGCAGGAGACATGCTCCCCACCCGTCCACAGAAACGAGAACCACAAACGTGAGTAGTGTTTGCTTTTGTCATCCCTTCAATCTTTTTTTCAGGGATGTTACCTCCCCCTTCGTCTGTGCATTTCAGCAGTTTCTAAGATTGTTCTGCTTCTTTGTGAATGAGTGGAACCTGGATGTTTAGTGGAGCTAATCAACTTCAGCCTGCCCTGGTGCTGCACTCAGCTAGTCAAGAATTCAGTTCAAACTCAGCATTAACTCTGCCGCAAATCACTCTTCCATCACTGCTCCTGTGGGGAGAAAATGACAAGGGGAGAGGGAAGGGAGCCACACCTGCCCGTCATCAAACAGCCTCTTAGTGCTTAGTGTGGAGATCAAGAAAATGCACAATTCATGTCAGTGCATCCTCTTTGCTATGTTCTTTGAGAAAAGATCTTTATTCCCTTCTCAGTTTTATGGTATAAAATTCTCAACAAATGCCCCATGATCCCACATCCCCAAATACCACTTTCTAAATATTAATCTGGAAAAACCAAAGGACTAGAAAATTAACTTCACAGATCTGATGGCACAAGAAAGGACAGAAGGGCTGTGCTCTGGTAATCCTAGCACCAAAGTAGGGGGAAGATAGTGTGTTTGCTGGCACAGGAAAGCCCATTTTAACCTTTTTAAGACACAGGACTGGGAGTCAGGAGATTCATATTTTATTAGTGAATTGTATCACTTAGCCCTCCTCCGCCTTAGTTTCCCTGTGTGCAAAGTAATAATTGCCTCCCACTCAGAGAGATCATGTGGTTAAATTCATTGATATTTGTAAAATACTTTCAGGTCCTTAGATGGAAAAGCCATTTTAGTTCAAAGAAATTATTGTTGTTGTTTATTATTTATTGACAACAGAATGAAATGCTTATAAGAATAAAATACAGGGCAAATCCGTTTCTTCCTGACATAAGTATAAAGTAAGAAACTTGGATCTAGGAAGCCATTTCCCCCTTAAGCAGGATAATCCATAATTGTCTCATGTGGTTGTGGGGAGGGGTTCCCCTTTCTCCAAAGCATCTACTACTGACCATTGTTGGGTTGGTCTGATCCCGCTGTGCAATCCTAAGGTTTCTATCACCTTTCTGCTCCACCTTTTCATTTTTAACATGTTTAGTAAGATGTTTTGACTTGTCCAGAAGCAGTTTTGACTTGCTGAGTTGTGGATAAACTTGAACTGACCATTACTCTATGGAGTTACTGTTCTGGCAGGCTTTAGAATATCACTATCGGGCCATTATCCCACAGGGAGCTGTAAGAGAGGGGATTTTGTTTCTTTATTTTGTATGCTGTCTCTAGATTAGTTTTCTGTGTCTGAAATAGGGTCTACAATACTTATCTACCTGATGAGGCTTTTGAGGCTTAATTAATTAGTGTTGATCTTAGCCCTGCACAGATAAGCAAACAGGGAAGGGCACTGTCCCCCACCATTCAGCCTGGCACAGGGGCCAGAGGCAGGCCCAGTTCTTGCGGTTCTGAGGTTCAGGGAGATGTTAGCACTATGAGTGGTACCAAACTCCACAAAAGGAGCTGGGAAGGATGGAATGATATACCTCCTTCATTCCTCACCAGCCAGCAAACCTGGGCCATTGTGGAGGAGAGTGCACTCTGCTCTCTGAAAAAGAGTGCAGCAGGGGCTGCTCAGACTTGTGTGTCTCCCGGGCTCCTGCAGGCATTTTGCATGAGGCAGGTGCAATGCCTCCGGGAGAGGCAGCTGGTGTGCAGCTCCCAACACAGAGTGTAGCTTAATGCCACAGGCATCCCCTTTGCATTTGTAAATCACTCTGAGATCCAGATCCTTGAGTGGAATGTTCTCTCTGCTCAAGAATCAGTGGCCACTGAGGGTGGGGACAGAAACCATGTAAAAGTGCCAGGAGATTTCTGCTGGGGGGAGTCACAGTACGCTGGGAGGCAACTCTCTGGACTGGCTGTTTATTCCCTTTTTCTGTTTGTTGGTTTACAGCCTGGAGATCAGCTCTTGCATATTCCCTCTTTCATTTGGCAGTATTTAATTTATGCTGCCATCCATCTTCCATGTGAATGCTAATTGTCCATGTTGCTAATATACAGTCATTAAATGGCCCCTTTGTACATGGGGAAGGTGGGGAGCCAGAGCATCAGATCCTTCCTTTCCCCTAAGTACTGCTGGGCATGTGTTATGAATTAGATTTGACAGGTCTGCTGTGTCACAGGGTCTGGGCTTCAAATATCCTTTCCGTGTGGGCTTGTGGGGGGAGGAGGGGATGTTAATCCAAACAGCTAATCTGCAATCTATGGAAGAGAAGGGCCAGAAATACAGTAAACAGCAGGCACTGATTATATCCTTAGCAGTGTGGCAGAGAAATACATGCAGCCTAATTTAGAAAAGGCAAAGCAAATCCAAAGCAGCCATTTGGAATTTGCAGTGCTGTGGGCAGTGGGGTCTGTGGCAGCGAGGTTCTGGCAGACTGCTCCAGTATGAACTTCTTGCCATTTTATTCTCTCTACCACTCCCATGTCTCCTGTGCAGTCACTGCTTGCAGCAGTACCTGCAGTAACAACTGCCCTGCTGACACAGAAGGAACTTCTCTGGAGCAGAGCCTCTGCCAGAGTCAGTTATTGATCCTCTGACTGGTGCCAGCTCAACAGTTGATGGTCTCTCATCTCTCTCGCAACGCTTCTCTGTACCCACACCCTCAATTACCCGCAGGCCATCTTGGATGGCTACATATATACTCCAGGGACTGAAAAAAAGATTAATATAGGAACAGCCTAATTTAAACTGACTGGCTTCTGATGGGTCTGTATCACAGAACAACCACCAACCCAGGTGGGATGTTCCGTTTCCTCTGAATCTCTCACTCTCCTTATCACTGTTGCGTGGGTTTTGTTGTCTGCCTCACTGACATATAGTTCAGCCTTTCCCAGATCACCTTCTCTGACCTCCTATTTTCCCCTAAAACAAGGCAGCCTATGCTTTTTAATACAGGCTGTGACCATGTGGCGTTAGGTGATTTACTTCTATATCTCAGCTCACTCTCTTGATATAGGGGGATGTCCCTCCTTCAAGACCCAAACTTGCCTTAGTCCCATACAGACTTGTTATCTAATGTTGCAAATACTTGTCAGCTGCATTTGAAATCATGAAAAAGAAGTTATAGAAAACTGTTTAAAAACCAGGCAAACCTGAACCCTGACAATAGAACAAAATAGTTCCACATCATGTCAAACCTGCTCTTCTGCTGTCTTCATCCTTCAATATTCGGCATTGGCGGCATGTGAGCTTTGAGCCCAGGGTGAGTCCATGAATCTGCCACTGAACACATGTTGCAATATATGTACATCTCATCCTAATGTTATAGGATGAACTGGGGTAGCTGCCGCCTGCAGATTCTGAAAGGTTTCTAAAGTGGGATTTTTATTAACTTGATATCTGTCTATTTAAATATATGTGTCAATGAATGTGGTATTATAAAACTAATTTCATTGCTAAAGGAACAGGAAGGTGTGTGCCTGTCTGTAAGGAGCACATCTTCTCCTTTTAAATGGGAGTGAATCATCTGAGTGGCACTTTGCTTTTTAAAACTTAAACGTTAGGATAACTTGTAGTGTTCCAAAAAATTAGGGTCTCATAGCAGTGTCTAAAGTCAGTCATAGTGTGAACAGATGCTGTTCAGACTTCAGGCACCTGGACACCTCTTCCAATACCAGTCTGGACTTGCCATACACTCTGCTAATGCTGCTGCAGTCCAGAGCACTCACACAGCTCTGCTAATATGCAGATTTGACTTGTCAGACCAACTGCTGTACCAGTTCAGGGCATCTTCCAATTTTGCCCATTTCTTTGGCAGATCTTGTGATGTGGACAAATCTCTAGTTGAGAGATCAGTCAACGGCATTTGTATATTCTAAGCATAATTAGATACCTAGGCTTCAAAGATAAAAAATGAATGCACTAACCTCACTGTGCTTCCAAGCTGTCCTCCAGCTCCCCCACACAGCCTTCTTTGAAACATTTTTATTTCCATCCAGGCAGGGGGCTGGAGATGAATAAATGACAAGAGCCAGCCCCTCAGTTGGAGATGAACTGTTTGTTCCTCTCCACAAGCAGCATCAATCTGAAAAGCTACATCAGGCCTCCCTTTCTCTGCCTTAGCACTGTTTCTCACTGGGGAGGTGATAGGAGCTACATTTGAATGCAGGAATGCTCCAACACCCACCTTCCTACAGGAAATCCTACAGCAGGTGCCTTTTCAGTGAAGAGCTGCATATGCCCTGATTAGATATCTCATTAGTTTATTCCATTTTTCTTTCTTTTCCTTTGTTGGTTTTTATAAAGGAATGAATGTAAATGTCATTTTAAAATGAAATTTGAGGGTGCCATCAGAATTATAGCAGAAGTGGCTGCTATAACAGCCTGTCATTAAGGGTGCATAACAGGTTCCATTTGTACCCTCTGTTTTTAGTTAATCGTAATTTTCCCTAACATTTACCTTTTGGGCTGACATTTTCTATGCCTGAATGTTGTGGGGAAGTTTGAGGAAACCCTGTTCACTCATTATGAATGTGGGGAGGGTGAAAACATACATTTCCCCATCGTACAAAATCTTCTTGAGACCTTAAATGGCTGGGTGCAGAAATTTTGGCAGGAAAGTAGCTTTCAATGAGGAGAAGTTTCAGAGTAACAGCCATGTTAGTCTGTATTCGCAAAAAGAAAAGGAGTACTTGTGGCACCTTAGAGACTAACCAATTTATTTGAGCATAAGCTTTCGTGAGCTACAGCTCACTTCATCGGATGCATACTGTGGAAAATACAGAAGATGTTTTTATACACACAGACCATGAAAAAATGGGTGTTTATCACTACAAAAGGTTTTCTCTCCCCCCACCCCACTCTCCTGCTGGTAATAGCTTATCTAAAGTGATCACTCTCCTTACAATGTGTATGATAATCAAGGTGGGCCATTTCTAGCACAAATCCAGGTTTTCTTTCCCCCCCCCCCCCACTCTCCTGTTGGTAATAGCTTATCTAAA